CTGCCTTTTGCTTCCGTGGAGCTACCACTTCTCCCTGAAGTTAGTTTTAAGTTATAATTTTAAGCGTTCTGAAGATTTGCGTGTTGCAAAACACATCTGTGATTTTAGGTCCTCATTCGGACTACTTTGAGTTTGAGATTTGAGTTGAGCCTTGAGAGTGGAGTTATTACTTGTGCTGACTATGATTTGTTTGGATCTTTACACTCTACTTATGCATTTTGTCGAAGGAGAATGTCAGCTGAGTTTATGTTTGTTATTATGGATTGATATAGCGCCCTTTATTCTTATGTGGTTTGCCTTGATATCTGATTATTGGATTCACCGTTTTGAGCTTCTGTCTGACTTGTTGAATGGTTATCTGGTGTTAAGTTATTAAGTAGCCTATTTCCTTTGACGTTACTCTGTATCTCGTGCCCAATCTTAAGTGAGATTTCTCAGTCATTGAGTCCACCCTCACCCACTCTCAGCCATGGCTTGCTGGAGCCACCAGATTAAACATTTTAGATGGTAGAATTTTTAAGGCTACAGTCGGACACGGGATTCTCTATACAAAAAGAAGTGTAGCACACATACGTAGTGTTGTCACAGTGTCACACGTGAAACTGCCACCATTGGTACTGCAGTTTAAACTGAACGAAAAAAAAAAAAAAAAAGAATTAGCTAAATTAGCTAATGCATTCGCTATGGCCTTAGATTAGAATATAAGCTCTCCTAGCTAATTCTTAGCTAGGAGAGCTAATAAATTAGCCATGACATTGGCCGACAAAATAAAGCAACTAGCTGTGAAAGCTAATATTTTAGCTTTCTTAGCTGGGAATTATAGATAGGAAAGCTAATAATCTAATCTAAGGCCATATTAGCGAATGCATTAGCTAATTTAGCTTATCTTTTTTTTTTTCGTGTGTAATCTTGCGTTTCAAGAGTGAAAGAAAGGCAAAAGGCTGGCGTCACTTCTGCCATTGTACAATTTTATATGACTGTGGTCCCTTCAGGGGCTGCCGTGGGACTTTCGATCAGCCATCTCAGGGGTGTCTCGAGCCCTCGGCCCGCGTCGCCACGCCTCGCCACGCTCCCGAAGTTGGCTGCACCGCAGTGAGCCGGCGAGTTCGTGTTTCTGTGATCTCAACCAACTTAAAAGTTGGCGGCAAACAGATGCGGAGGCGTCGGTTTCAAAACTAAGTTTCAAGGGCAGGGGCGTCTGCACAGCGGGGGGAAGGAG